AACGTTTTCTCCAGGTCATGTAACACTTTCGTGATCTCTTGTTCTCGCATTTTAATTTCTTGTTCCAGTCGTTCGGATTGTTCTTTAATGGGAGACTGTCCCGTCGGTGTTGTTCTGGAAACGCTCAAGGCACCGCTCTGACTGGGGCTGCTATTCAAACATCCTCTAACAATCCGTTCGATCTCGTTGAAATCTTCCTCCACAGCTTCTAGTTCAAGCGCTACGGCGGTAAGTCTCGATGAGTCGCCAACAGTCTCATAATGTGCTTCTAAACTCTCGACTGCACGAACTACATCCTCAAAAGCGGCAGAAAGAAGATCCAAACGTTCCATCACCTGCATTTTCGAATACATTCCTCCCTCTAAAGTCATCATCAATTTTGTTTTGGTTCTTGTATAGGCGCCTTTGTACTTCGCTTTGTCCTTTCTCAATCGTTCGGCCATCTCGTGTTCGTTCAGTGTTCGGTTACAAATCCTGGTAAATTACGTCAAATCCACTTAAAAAGAACCTCGCTCTGCTACCAGATGTTCGCCAGGATAATTGGTTGGTCGAAAGTCCATAAAAACCACGAGAAAATAAACAAAACATCAACAATTTAATTTCATCTAGCTTGCTCCAAAAAATGTGATGAGCTGGCAGAAAAGCAAAAACCTCGTGTTCGCTAAAACAAAACTGCGCATGCACTTGAAATATGTCACAGGACAACCACTAAAATATTCTCCAGAACAATGTCTTTTCGGATAGCGGATTTTATGGTTTCTTGTGGACGAATGGCCGATTCGTGTAAACAAAAATGCGGTTTCAAAAATAGCTGGATTCGTGTGGACGGGGCCTAAACCGGCGGTTTGTTGTTGACGCAGATCACAAAATGACGTCATACTGAATCCTTTTTGCTTTTTCGTAATGATTGTCACCGTCGTGAGAATACAGTTTGCATCTAAATATTCAGGGTATTGTCTCCGAGTTTCATTTTTACATTAACGGCAGTAACTAACAATGCATTTGAAATATGCTGAAATCTTAGTTATTGTTTTGCTTTAAAATATGAAACTTGGAGACAATACCCCTGAACAATGAAAAGCTTTCACTTATAAAGACGAAATTTTCGACAAAGTAAAATAGCGAATTGTAGTCCTTATTTTATTACCTTACAAGTTATCAATAACATTGAAGCTGAAGAGTCATATAAAATGATGGTTAATCTCGATAATCTCAATTTTTAAAAATATTTATCGAGCGGTTTCAAAATTATTTGTTCATTTTTAGTTAGGTCTCTTAAGGTCAGGATCGTTACAGAGTTGACAAATGCACCAAACTTTGCACAGCAATACCTTATTGCAGTACCATGAATATTAGAGGGGGTGCCCAATGCAAATATGCCACTGAAGCGTGCTAAACAGGATTTAATTATTGTAAATTTCACCTGCTGGGGTCCCTGTGGTGTTTTGATTGAAAATTGTTATTTAATACCTTAAAACACTTAGAATTCTCTTCTCATGTTGTAAACAACAATTTCACTCGAACATCTGGCATTCCCATCCATTATTAGCTTATTGACTGTATAATTAAGTTGATTATTACTGTGCCCTTAAAGCAAGTCCACAGTCCGCCCACATTTTCATAAGTCATTTCTAAGATGGCCTCGTCTTTGCTTCATAACTTGCAAGTACTCAGCTTCTGGGGTTCTCTTCTCCTTTTCTAATGTTTTTCAATTAGAGGAGGCCTTATTGTGTGGCTTAAGCCTTATTTATCAAGTATTACTTGTCATTACAAGTCACTCCAAAGCTAAAGAACACAAAATTGCAGAAAAAAGAAATTGTCAAAGAGTCTGTTGTATCACATATTATCAGGGATTTATGACAGCTGTTCATGAAGAGCAAATAACGAAATGACAGAACGCAAAATAGTTCTTTCCTAAGGAGGTAATTAATTTTTCAGCTTAACATAGGCCTGGATGCCTTGCAGTCTCTCTTTATCTGTTGGACGCACGTGCATGTTTTGACAGAGAAGCAAGCATCGTGGCACAATTCCCGAAGTTTGTCTAAGCTTTACAAAGCAAAAACAAACTAAAAAGAATCTGGTCTCATGAACGAAAAAAGGAAACAAGTTAGCCCAAGCTTCAAAAACAGCACAGTTTATCATGAAGCCTCTACATTTGGCACTGCAACACTCAAGTCCAAAAATTATAACAGGTTATCAAGTCGTAAAAGTGAGACTCAAGTGGTACAAGATTGACTCAAATGATAAATGGTCAATGGTTTAACTGCTGAAACTGTAGAAAGGGGGCCGGGCTGTCCGCCTGTCCATATATTCTCTCATTTTAATTTGATCACGTTTACATGATCAGTGGGGTGACCCTTGAAGGTGGGTAGCCGGTATGTCACACTGGGTAACCCTCTCAGCTGAGGTCAAATTTTGCCGTGTCAGCGTTTCAAGGTGAGGTAACCTAGGCTAGTCGGGATCGGATACGTGATTCGGATTCGCGCAAAATTCACTTTGGCACCGGGTGGCTTCACATAATTATTAAAGGTAGAAAACCACAACACTGAAGGTTGCAGGAAGAGCAGCAAGTGAGCGTAGACGTGGTTTGCTAGCATTTTTCTTGTTTTCGTGCTTGGTGACCATTCAATAATCTTGAGAAAGTGCACCCCAGGATGGCGGGGTTGTAAGATTGCATGTAAAGGAGGGTTATTTTTTTACTCCACCTAAGCAGGTTACCTCACTTTCCTGGGGTACCCACCTTTATGTTAACAGGCCCTAAGTCTCAGGAACCGTGAAACTGGTAATAAACGGTATACCCTACCCGAGACTAGCTGTGATACTACTTCCATCTTCAAAAACGTCAGCATGGCAGCCAAAGGAGCCATTAAATCGGTGTAACACGAATATTACATTGTAGTTGTTTCATGCGTCTTGTTTTGTGACTTTCTTTGTGTTCGTTTTTGTCACTATCTCTAAATTTCAATCATGTTCAAAACACCACTACTAACAAAATATTTCGTAAAGCTCTTTAGAATGATATTCAGTAATAAAAGCAAAGTGTGACCAGGAGCTGATTTCTAGGCTCCAGGTGTGGCAACATAGGCATAAGTGAATGTAAAGTTCTGCGGTATGTAATTTGTCAGAAATCTGTTTGAGTGGTCAAAGTTGGGGCTGATGGGCTTCTTTATCATGACCACTCCATTATTATAAGGGACCAGCCCATAATTATTGTTGACCCTTGTTTTTTTTGGTATTTTCTGTAATTTTCCACAGCATTATTTTGTGAAAAGTAGGTAACTGAATTGCTCTCGAGGAATTCATGATCGTTAGATTTCGTAACCACGGGGTATTTGCCTAATTGTATGAAACAAATTACATTCATTTTCATAAATGATGCATCATTGGTTGGCTAAAAGAGGCCATGTTCCTGTAACTTTCAGCTCTTTTGAAGTTAGTTTGTTTGTAAATTGTAACGCATTGAATTGAAAGATCGTATAGACCTACATTAACACTCTGGTGCGAGGGCTCTGACGTGAATGAGCTCCTTACAGATGTCTAGGCATGCAGGGACCTCATACACTGCTTTGTAAATGCAAATGTGTAAAAAATAAAAAGTGTAAAAATTTCCTGGAGAGGCATGTTTTACAACCTCGTCCCCAGGGCTTAATAAAAAGGTAGAAAAAGGTTAAGCGACCACATTTTACGTCAATAACTCGTGACAGCAGTAATAACTGATAAACTTGAGGTCGACGGTGCGGTCCTTTTACCCCCTTCTCTCCATTAATGCTCCGTTTTAAGGGTATTTAAAGCTAGTCAAAGCTACACATAAAGGAGAGAAGTTGAAATAAGGACGCGTTGAGACCCGGGGATCGAACTCGAGACCTGGCGCACCGAAGGCTGCTCACTAACCAACTGTGCCACCCTTGCTCCTCCTTTTCCCCCTGAGGACGAGATTGACATGTTTTAATCATTATCTCAACGACAGGTTACCAACGAAGCAAATTATAACCTAATCTTAGCTGCACAATTACAAAGTGGGCGCGTTGTCAGTTATGGTTCATGAGGTCGTTCATTTGGCATATCAAAATTTAACGATTCTACCGTTTACAATGCGACACATTTGGGTTTTATGTTATTGTATGACATCTTTGAAAGCTGGTTTTTGTGATCTGTTTAAATTGATATGTAATGATATTATCACTGGCAAGTCTTAGCAGTGACACTGATAGCCACACAGTGAACATGGCCACACTTACCGTGTGGAGACTGGGCACTATTCGGTATTATGTGCCTGTAAATACTGTTTTGATTAGTGTAGCAACAACTAAACATTACCAAATTTGAAACAAATGTTTTTTAGCCAAATCAAACAAGAAGAGTACTCACCACAGGGCACCCAATCTTTTATTATAGGTGAAAGTTAACCCCCCCCCTTTTATGTGTAATTAGGACCGTTTGTAACAAGCACCCCCTCCAGTATTAATCGGCAGGTGCTAAGGAAGCTCTGTGCCAAATTTGACACTTTTGTCACGTCTGTAATGATCCGGCCTATATTTTGCATTAAGAGACCTGACTTTGTTAAAGTAGACCAAAATATATAAAAAAAACGCCAAAAAGAGCACCTCAGTGTATTATCAACTCCCTCCTTCTTACGAACCGCTAAAGCCGTTCCCATGATCTCTTAAAACATGTTTTAAAAGTGAATAAAAGTACTATGAGGTAAAATTGAATTTCAAACTCGCTTCGTTTTCTAAAGATAACGGCCGAATACTGAATACTGAATACTGAATATCCAACCACAAATACTTCATCCCAAAATATCTTCAAAAAGCTCGGCATACATTTTACTCAAACCTCATGAACATCGCGGAAGCCATTGGTGGAGAAAGCTCCCGTGAACTATATTGGTTGGAAGCAGGTTGTAAGTAAAATAGGTAATGGTGTCGTTTCGTTGCTATGACTACTCCCATGTCGTTGCAACCCAGCTGATCATAACAAATTTTCATCTTTGTCTAATACAGTTTTGGTGGTAATTTGTCGAAATCTTTGTCAATTGCGACGTAGCTGCTGAAACATGGGAGGTATTGACGCTGAAAAACCCCGTCGAGCCACCTTACAAAAATGTACAGTGAGTAGCTCTTCCCCCCTCCTCCACTTCCCCTGTATATAACAGGCTACATTGTTTCTTTAAAGAGCAGAGATCACAAAGTTATCAGGATGTCATCACTAAATACAAGTCACAAGTACCGCACTGACGTCTATCAACATGTAGTTGAATAAAACGAGTTTTAAATCTTGGGATCTGAGGTTCTGTGTTTCAGATAAAACAGCCCAAATGCTGAATATTAACCCACATTATTTCAGGGCCACACTATCAGTGACTTTTAATTGAAATGTTAAATTAACAGTGAATTTTACGCATTCAATCTTTGGGACCTTTTGATCATCTTCAATAAGTCGTTTCGGGGTCAATGCAGGGGCGTAGCGTGAGATTTTGAAGGTGTACGCTCAGGAAGAAAAGCTAGAGCGCGGAAGGCACTCCAAACTAGGTGGTCTGAGGGCATGTTTCCCAGATCGTTTTTAAATTTAAGGTCTCGGAAATGCCATTTCCTGCGTTTCCCGCAGGACAGTTAAGTAAATGAGTACGAAGAAAAATGCAGTAATGTCAATTTTGCCTTATAAAGGTCTTTCTTAGTTAATAATTAACGGTAAGTCACTGAGAAACATGGAGGTTGATACCTTACACGACAAAAATGATATCATCTGTAACTAAACAGCTAGTGGACTTCAGCTGCTTCCTTTTAGTTAAAAACATGTCAGAGAACGGCTTAGAACGCGACCACATTACGGTGAATACCACAATATATATTGTGAAATACCGTTACAGCTAGATAATCAGAAGTTTATTTATAAGCCGATAACAACTATCTATCGCGTAAGCCGTGAAAAAAAAAAGGATTCAGCCGTCCTTTGATAAAATTTCATCGATGAAAACAATGATTCTTGTTTTGAAAGAGTGTTAACAGTAAAATAACTGATAGCTTGTTCAACAGAGCTGCTGTTAGTTTTTGATAACTCACCAGTCTTACTCGAAGCCCCTGGAAAAAGGTTTCAAGAAGCTACCCCCCACCCCCTCGGAAATTGCGTCTTTTTGGCTCCCCCCTCGCCTCGTAATTTCCGTTGCCCTCCGTGGGGGGTATAGATATTTTCTGAAACTACACAATTTTGGTCATTTTTAGTAAAAAGGTTCATGCTGCTTTGACAGGCGTTCTTTAGCTTCATTAACTAACTAACTGAGATTGATTCTAGGTAGATAAGAATATTATTGTATTTTAGATTTTGACTGCACGAGTATTTATTTTCGCTTTAAATTATTATAATGGATTTTTATTACCTTTTTGTGCATTTTATTCGTTGCCTTAGCCTTTGCAGTTTTTTTTCCTGCTTTTGTAAATAACGTAATTGCCGAAGCCAGTAGTCCCGCTGGATTATATTTTATTCAGGACGATGCTTTTACAATAGAGTCTTCCATGATCATAATCATAATCATAATCATAATCATAATCATAATCATAATCATAATCATAATCATAATCATAATCATAATCATAATCATAATCATAATCATAATCACAATCATAATCATAGCTTACATTCCTTTTAGCCAAACGTTTTTCGGATTTGGACAATCCAGCCGGAACAAAAATCTGAAATAACATTGATCCATACAGCAGCTGCCTGCTGCTCCGATCTTCTTCTCAATTTATTTCGCCGCATCGTTTTGTTTACTTCTTTCTGCTAAATAGCTCTAAATTAAGCATCTTCTTGTGGAGAGACGGAAAGAAAACTAGCTCTTTAACTAGCGGTGGTTCATACTGGAACTCATCAACCGGAAATTATCTGGAATTTGATTCAAGAAAATTCAGAAGACAATTACGAATTTTCAAGCGCTGAGAAGCGCGTTCTAAACACACACAGACATTGGACAGTATAGTTTTACAGTGAGAAAATCTAAGCGTTTTCTCTTCCTAACGGATTTAGAGTGACAGTGGAACTTGAGTTAATTATACTACAATCCTTTAGCGGCATAGAACAACGGGGAATATAAATAACTTTTGCCTGAACTAACCTAGACCCGCCGTGTTTACTGACGAACGAGCAAGTTTTTGCGATCGAAAAGCAGTTTTATTAAGTGGAACAAAGATATGAAACCAATTAAGATACCAATCTGAACGATCCACCCATCTTAGATTGGTTTGGTCCTTTATTACATCCACTTTGAAATCACTGGCTATCCGTGCAATCTGATTGGCTCTCAGCAGTGTGATTTATTCCTAAATCGCACCATTTTTTGCTCTAAATCGCATCTGTTCCAAATCGCATCATTCATGTTCTAAATGGCATCATTTCTGTTTTAAATCACACCATTTTTGTTCTATATACTGCATCATTTCTGTTTCGAATACAAAATGAGATGTAAAAGCCTTTTTGTTTCGTAATATTCGTACTAACTAAATTCTGCGATTTCAAAATGGATGTAATAAAGTGGTAATTGAACTTCGTGTCGTGCAATTTTGGTCTGAAATCATACTTGTGATTTCAAATCAAACTCGCGCTGCGCGCTCCTTCGATTTTGAAATCACGCGTATGATTTCAGACCAAATTGCACTCCACTTAGTTCAATTACCATTATTAATGGAACAAAAAATCGAATTTTCGATCACAAAAGCCGGATTTAGATGAGCTAACAGGAATGTAGCCATAATCATAATCATAATCATAATCATTATTATTATTATACTGGTTCGTGGAAACCTTAAAGCACAACCTCATTTTTTTAATGAGAGAATATGGAATATTGAAGTTTACTCTAAGAACGTCAACGGGACTAGCTGGAGCGAACAGCGAAGGTGTCGCGTCCAGTGGGTGTCCTGTGGAGCAGCAGCACAGACCCGGTCGTCATCCTGCTACTGCTGAAAGACAACTGAAGAGATTAGCATGGTCAAAGGAGGACAAAAAACTCCTGTTTGAGCGGTAGGGGTGAACCAGAGAAGAGAGGTTACAGAAAGAGACTGTTGGACCTGTGGAAAACTCATAACACCAACAATGAGTTAACAGAGGTCACTGAGCAGAGGCTTGCAGACCAGGTACACCAGATAAAGCATAAGGCGCAGTGCCGGATCCAGAACTTGAGATAAGTGGGGCGGGGGGGGGAGCGGTCATCCAGATCCTTAGATAAAGGGTGGGTCTTCCAAAAACATTTTTCGGCCCTTTGGGGCTCAGTTTGGTCTAAAAATAAGGGGGTGCCGGGCCCCGGGTCCCTCCCCTGGTTCAGCCACTGAGGCGTGGCTGGAGACTGTGGAAAAAGAGGAGATAACGCTGAGGGTAAATAATGAACACCAGTTGATTGAAACTATTGAACCTAATACCGCAGATACACTACACCACATAGCAATAACACCTGATATCCAGAAGAACACCAAAGTGTATATAGTATGACAGCTGAAGAGGGACCCACTGGTTCCCCAGCTAAAGAACTACATGAGAAGGTCAACCCAGAACTCGATATTATCCGCGGCAGGATTCAGGAAGTGATGCAGTCAGATAAAAGAGTAGGATTACCATAACTGAGATCATGCGACAGGGCTGAAGTTGAAAGTAGAGGTTGGAAAGGTCAATAAAGCCATAATGAGGATTCGGACGCACATCATCACTGAACTGAATTCGCTACTATATGCAGCTGCATATGTAACAACAGAGAGAATGGAAATGCTGAAAGAGAGGAAAGGGAAAAGGACTACACAGCCTTTTTGAAAGAGAAGAATCAAAAGGAACTTATTAAAACTTGGAGAAAAGATCTTAGTGAGACTGGGGAAGCCCGAAGAAGATATATGACTTTAAAACAAAGAGAGAGGGAAAGGCTGAACAGAAAATATCGTCTCGAGGAAAGGGGCACTATTGGTGGCATCACTGCTTGGGCTGTCGCGGGTGGTACTCTACAATGCAGGTATCGTGGATTGCACAGTAGAAGAACTAGTCAGCATGGATAGGAAAACTAAGAAGATATTGGCAATGAATGGCTGTCTTCACACCAGAAGTAATGTTGCCAGACTGTATTTGTATTTGCCGAGAAAGGAAGGAGGGGAGAAGGTTGATTGGTGTTGAGGAGTGTCTTAAGGAGGAGTGCAAATCCTTGCATGGCTACCTGAGGAATAGCACTGAGTGGATGCTGCGCATGGTTTTGAAGGAGAAGGTGCTTGTTGAAGAAGAGAATTTTCAGGACTCCAAGAAGAGAAGGAAAGAGGAGAAGATGGACGGTTTGCTCGGCAAACTTCAGATGTGGCTGGAAAGAGGTCAGGAAGATGGCTCAAGAACGGTTTTCTAAAGAAGGAAACACAGGGCTTGATCCTCGCTGCTCAATAACAAGCTTTGAGAACAAATTCGGTCAAGTACAGCAAGATAAGACATCTGAGACACCACTGTGCAGATTGTGCGGTGAATGCAACGAAACAGTATGGCATATTGTCAGTGGATGCAGGAAGCTAGCCCAGAAGGAACACAGGAAGCGCCAAGACGAGGTGGCTCTATAGGTTCACTGGGAGCTATGTAGAAATTATGGGTTAGAGCGGTAACGATATGTGGTATGACCATCAACCCTTACCAGTTGCAGAGAGTAGAGAAGTGAGGATAACTTGGGATATAACTATTTTTACGGACAAGCGGATGAAACACAATCGTCCAGATATAACTGTAGTACACAAAGACACACAGGAGTGGATGATTATCAACATTGCTGCGCCAGCGGACCAAAATATCCTTACTACTGGAGAAGAAAAGTATCAAAACCTAGCCCTCGAAATTAAAAGAATCCTCAGAGCCAAGAGAGTGACAATATTACCTATCGTGACTAGTGCACTTCGAACTACCTCGGGGTATACAAAGGCCGGGAATGGGAGGTTGAGTCTTCCAGATATTTTTGGAAGCGCACAGTTATCAGCCATCCTTAGTACTGCCCATATCTTGAGGAAAGTGTCATGTGAGTCAGCTGCGGGATTGCTGCTGAGAATCCACAGAAAAAGAACTGGAGAGGATAACACCATAATAATGATAATAATGATAATAATAATAATAATAATAATAATAAGAAGAAGAAGAAGAAGAAGAAGAAGAAGAAGAAGAAGAAGAAGAAGAAGAAGAAGAATAGCATCTTTATTTAGAATTGAGCTTAGCTGAAGCTAGACTGCGAACAGCAGACGCATTTCCGGTCGTCGCTTCTCTACCTCCGAAAAATAGCGTCTGCGAACCCTAGCGGCAAAACGATTTCCTTGACGTAAAACCTTTCTAGCCAATCACGATTTAGCTCTTAAAATCAAGGAACTAACTCGCGAGACTTCTCGCATCATCGTGCGCGGTGGATATGTTTACAAGTCGAAATAGCTTGTGTATAGCCACCCTTTTTTCTCAGATCGACGCGTTTACGAAAGTTAATTTGCCAGGATCGTGAGACTGATTGATGAAATAAGCTTCAAGAGGATTCACATCGAAGAAAAGATTTGAGGACATATTTTATCTATTTGCCTACGGAGTCAATGATTTATCACACCTAGTTGTTTTTATCATAATTATTCGAAACGATAAATGTCCTAATGACAGTAGACGCATCATGCCGTTTGTTGCTCCTGTTTCTTTCTGGTTCCTGGCAGGAAAGTATGCTTTGGAGAACTCTTCGATAGTTTGTCGTTTGCCTCTTTAGATATTTTTTTAGTAGATGTCCTTTATCTTTGAAAGCTATTTCCCATGCGTGGTTGCTCCTTGGTTCAGACAGAACTTTGATCAGATCGAAAGCATTTTATATTTGTTCTTATATTTCTTTAAAATCATGTTCTTTTCAAGGTTTTAACTTCCTTAGTTTTTTGTGAGATGAGTCGAAGCGTCGTAGCTGAAATGTCATCTTGACTATGATCAATTTACTGCTGTAACTATTTATTTCACGCTGGGTCTGGCCCAGGTTTAGTTTATGATATTTCAGATCATTGTGTTGTGTAGCCTGCGAAAGCATCCGTTTCTCCTTCGCTCTTCGCCGCTGGGGACGTTTCGCGTGATGATAGTGGTGATAGTACTAGAATTATTAACGAGCGATTGTCAGAGATTTCTGAATCAGTGAAGGATGTGTTGTATAACTGATTCACCACCTTTTGTCAGCGCTGGTCATGAAACTGAAATAAATAAGTCTGAGCGCGATGTTACTTTCCTTTCGCTGTAGCGATTATTTTGTCCAGTTTTTTTTTGGAGGGAGAGAAGCGACGACCGGAAATGCGTCCAAAACAAAGAATTCATATAGACTCATCCGTGCAAAGAAAACGTTAGTAACGGCTTTCCAAAAGTAGGGGCCAGGATATTATAAAAATGCCAACTCAAAAACGTAAGAATGTGCCGTAAAAGTATTCCTTTGGAATATCACGATTTTTAACCTCATTTTCTCGTGAATCAAGTCTTATCACTTAATATATAACAATTATTCACCGAAGTGGAGGTGACTAGTGGCATACTTACTGAGCCGTGAAGCGGCGCGGTAAATACCAGCCACCACTAGCCACCGACACTGAGGTGAATAGTTGTTTTAGTATATACTAAAACAGTGGGATAATGGAGCACAAAAATGATGATTTTTAACTGACATTTACTGTTGCCAACGATTACAATTTTGGCGCGTAATGACCGAACGGTCGTCGCGTTTTCTTGCCGAAAAATAAAACTTTTGAAGGCATTTGTTTAGCTCTTTGGGGGAAATTTCGTCAAAAGGAGTTGTGATTTCTCTCTGTCTTTAAAACCATTTTGTAAAAAAAACTATTAAATTTTGTTTTAAGCTTATTTATGAACAATTCCGCTAATTAAAGTAAAGCAAGACTTACGCTTAATTTGCATTTGTAAACAAAAACCTTTTCACCAGTTTCATCGATAAATTTAAGTCAAAAAGACCAAGCTTTACCCCTTTAAAATTTCCAAACCGAATCTCGTCACCTTCTTCGTGTATTTCGGGAACAGCTTGTTTGATTATTTGTGAAATTTTTTCGTTTGCTACTGCGGCAACCAACCGGGAAGCCATTTTGCTCTTAACTTAGGCGAGTTTGGCTTCGCTCGCTCAGAGGAACTGGAGGTGAATCAGTGAATAGATTACCAAATTTTCTTAGGTATCTGGCTCCGCCCGCGCATGCTTCGCGCCAGCGTGGAGTTCTGCTAATAACTAGAGTGCGTAGACATGCCTGTAGCCTATAATGCATTACTGTAAAAATGAATTTCATGTTATAAATGTAATTGTAACATAGCTAGAAAATTTGCCTAATCAAATTCAATAACGCCAGCGTGCTTCATATTCCTATTGAGCACGCTGATGACGTCAATAAACTAATCGTAATTCCTCGAGTTGTTGTGAGCTTAGCAATCCTAAGTCTCCTGAGTGCATCCATAATTCAGCTGTACACCATCTCCCCTACCCCACCCGTACAATCTGTAGAACTAACAGTCCTTTACTACAAAGGTATGTGCATGAAAAAAAAGTATAGTGTGTGTGAGTTCTTGGAGCGTTTTAATACCATGTTGTTTTTAAGGAAATTTAAGAGGAAACGTTTGAATTTGCTAACCGATAGTAAGGAAAAGACGTGAGTGTTGTTGTTGTTATTGTTGTTGTCATCTCCGTGAGCTGTGCGGGCTATGGCGTGAGATCATTCTTTGCAAAGTTGTTTTCTCTCAATAACAATTTTTCGGTAAATTAATAGTTTTGCAGCACCTAAATATGGATTTTACAATCATTTTAGAGTACACTTTCTCTCAGTTTCAGGATAAAAACATAAGCTTAACTGTGAGGAAAAAAAATATAGTCACGTAAACATTGACGCGTACTGCTTTGAGGGCGCCCTACAATAATAAACTTTAAAGTTAACTGCTGCACTGATCGCTTTGATAATGTTATAAAACAATTAGTTCATGCTGCAGCTGTGCGTATGTAGAGATCATGAGCACTTGGAAAGTTTGGAGAGCACTCAAGAGGCTAGAGTTGCACTCGGCTGCGCCTCGTGCAACCCTTACGCCTCTTTCATGCTCTCCAAACTTCCCGTGTGCTCAATATCTCGACATACGCACGCTGACGCATGAACTAATTGTTAACTGTAACATGAAAAATATTTTATGTTTCTTATCCTAGTATTTACACTACTGTGCAAAGCTTTCCTGACAAACCATTAGTGGCAGTCACTAGTGTTAAAGTTGCAAATTAATTGATTGCAAGTTCCTTGTGTATACGAAATGTTCGATCATTATATTGCTTTCCATTTCTGCAAATTTTGAGAAAAAACTGTTTTTAATTATATTTCGGGATCAGTTTCATCATTTCATCATCGTCAGTTTCTTTAACAGAGAGAAGATCACTTTAAGAGAATGTGGTGACCGTTTTACCAGAACCAGCTCCAACGCAATTTTAGATAAAATATTTTTTAAAAAGTCAGGAACTTACAATCGTTTGTTGTCGAGGTCCCCCTTTTCTGTTCCCTTTTCTTCCCTTCGGAGAATCAATCTGAAGATAACAAAAGATGAATTGTTCAGCAAAAACTTGAACAGATAATTTTTGCTTCTAAATTAATAGTTTAAGTATCAGCTCTTCCTCAGGGCTACTAGGGGACTGAGAGGAGATTGGTACTCGGGTTATAAAATGAAATTAGTTCAGGTTTGCTCGTCCACGCGTGATTACAATTAAATGGTCAATTAAACAGTCAATGGATAAATGATAAATATTGTTCGCATATGAGCAGCTGTGAGCACGCATATGCGTGGCCTAATAACCGACTTGATCGCATGGACATGCCTTTGATGTTCAATCTTATAAAATACAGGTTACAAGATACTATGTGTCCGCCTACCAAATTATATCCAGAACCTGATGTAAGTGCATAATCACTGTACGTTGAACCAAGAGTAGAATCAAAAAGTGAGAAACTTCTTCTTAATTTGAGCGTTAGCGCTGGTATAGAAATGGGCCCAAATAGAATTAATGAAAAGAAAACTCTCTGGTGAAGGTGATCATTGAATTCGATTTTCTGGTAGCCTATTTTCAATTTCTACAGATAATGCTTAGCAGTAGTTTGCTATTAACACATTGTCTGATGATTGGAAACATGTTCTCAGAAATATTAAATGGCTACAATTATGTCCTACAAGTAACCTGAAGCACATACATTGATAAACATTCCAGATTAAATATAAACGATTCGGGGGAAGTGGGGTGTGGGGGAGTAGGGTAGAGCAAGCAAGCTCATATCGTTCAGAATCAAGGTACATAATGACCTTCAGCGAGCTACCCGTCGTTTGCAAATACACACAGAAAGGGCTGTAGTCTTAAAAAGTGACGTTACAAAACAAACGAAATAACTGCTATGAGATGAAATATAAACTAGCGCCAATTTGTACAAAACAAACACAACAAAGCTCTCAAAGTTCAGCCTAAGATTCTGGCTCCTTCTCTCCGTTCTATCTGAAACGAGTTTCAGAATCACATTCAGATGACAGGCAACTTAAATGTGTATTATCATGTATGTTAGAGACAAACTTAACTTTATAAACAATAGTAATAGATCATCCCTAGATTTCGCTACGTATTATCTTCGCCACTTTTGGTATAAAGAACATATGACACGGATAATCTATCCATAAAATGCTTTAATTCTGTATGAATATGAGTACTTAAACCATACATATAGTCCTCTGCCGGACCAATATCCTTTCCGAGGAAATATAAAAAAAGACTAAATTTGTTCTCTTCAGAATATATCGTCTTAGGGACATATTTTTTGCAACATAAACAAGAAACTTCAAAATTATATCCACGGCAACTGCCTCGGTTGCCTGTATGCTGAAGGGACCTAACCATGCATTGATACTGCACACGGCTCAAGGTATGTTTATTCAAAACTTACCAGTCACAGATGAAGGGAAACAGCTCGTACGTCTCGAAACTTGGACACAATGATTCGCTTGAAATAATTCAG